TTCACTCTCTCCTATCCCTGGTATGTCACCACATATTCATTCATATTATCAGTCATTCATTTCACAGATTATGTATTTGTATTGATGTTAAGGCTGTTCCCTGAGTCGGTTCGTTGGCAGGTCTCCAATGGACAGACATCTAAAGCAATTAAGACAATCAAAAGAGCTGCCAAATGGAACAGAGTTTACATTCCAGAGGAATATCTGTACACTAGTGAAGACGTGAGTGATTATCTGTTTATTTAATCATTCTCTCAATTATCTTGTTTTTGTGTACTTTTGGGAAGACTTCCTCTTAATTTGTTGCCGTTTTACGTAATTTGATGTCAATATGTACTGAACTGCATATTAATCTCATTAATATGTGTGACATTGACTCCAATTAATACATAGAACTCATTGAATTAAAAGTGAATTGAATATCTAATGCAAACATTTGCCAATCATATGTTTTCAATGATAAGTCTGTTTTCTTACTGGTCTCACATCCCATCCATTGATTTCATCCCTCATATGAATATCGACTGATTTATCCGCAGTTTATGTTATTTATAATAAAGTAAAATATTCTCAGGAAATACTGGTGCAGTAAACAAGTTTGTTTTAACAATTATTTGTTTAACTAAACTTATGTTTTGTCACAAATAAACTAAATCAAAAGTCTTACAGACAAACATTAAATAAACAATCAATTGCATGGAAACACTAAATATGCCATCGATTAAATACAAAAACAAAAATTGATTTCCTATATAAACTAAAGTTTATTTCAAATGTAATATACTGTACTGGTACTTTTCATATTCTAATACGGTAGCCATTTCCAACCAGTACATCTCGGACATGTGAACCAATAAGACATTTCGGACCATTAGATATACTAAAGCACCACATTATCCGTGTCTGGGCTCTCAATCTATTCTTCATTTGGTAAGACATGAATGAGTTGTTGACAACAATCCTATAACTAATTGTTGACTACAGGTTCACCACATCACTGGTCTATTATGGGCTCTCATTTCAGGCACAAAACATTGGATCCGATATTTACGTGACGTTTGGTTTCTTAGCGTTGGCTGAAATCCCAGCCATTATTTTGGCCACAATTGCGATGCAGATATACGGACGCAAAATAGTGTTGTGTTTATTGCTGATAATGGGCGGCATATCGTGCATAACACCGGTGTTTCTGTCCGACTATTACAACGCATACATAACAGTGTGCGCTGTTTTGGGCAAAAGCATGATTGCGGCCGCCTTTTCACTCATTTATGTCTATTCTGTGGAGATATTCCCAACTATTCTGCGAAGTTCTGGTCTCGGGATGTGTTCAATGAGCTCAAGGATTGGAGGAATTCTTGCGCCACAACTCATAGGACTTGTAATGCATTTATTTCTTTAAATCTCTA